AGGACAGTGTGCTGGTTAAGCTCACAGTCTTGACATCAGGGTTACTTGAATTTGAGTCCCACCCTGAGCTCTTTTTAACTTTGTGATCTGGGAAAGATTTCTAGCCCCTGAATTCCTTTGCATCATGTTTAAAATGAGGTTATAAAACCGACTCCACATTAAGTGATGTATTAGCCAGTGTTCTGTTATGGTAACACAATACTGGAGGCTCGACACTTAGTTAATAAAAAGAAGTTTACTTAGCTCAAAGTTTTGAATGTCCAAGAGCATCTGATCAGATCTGGTGAGTGATATTATCGTATGAGAGAGAAAGATCACATGATAAGAAGTGAGAGAAGGATTTGAGGGTCAGGCTTGCACTTTATAAAAAGTCACTTTCACAGACACTAACCTGAGTTCTCTAAGAAAGTCAACAATCCTTTCCAAGGACAGTATCCTCAATGACTGGGTTGCCTCCTACCAGATCCAGCCTCTTAAAGAGGCCACCACCTCTCATGGAAACATTGAGAAGCATACTTCCAATACATGAAGGTGTGAGAACAAACCACATGTAAACTAAGGCATGTGCTAAAGAGGACTAGGAAGCAGCTATTTAAAAATGGGTTCTATAATCCCAGCACCCAGGACACAGAGGCAGGTAGATATCTGTGAGTTTGAGGACAGTCTGATATACATAGTGAGTTACATGGCCAGGGATACATAGAGAGATCCTATCTATAAAAAAACAACAACAACAAACAAAAACACCAGGCAAAAACACTACTACCATCATCATCATATGAAAGAATAAAATAAAAATGAATTCTATCCTTGAACTTCACCTTGAGGTGATCAATTGCCTGTAACTTCCAGGGAGGGGTGGGGTGGAAATTTGGAGAGAGTAGTTGGTGGGTCTCTGAGATGATAGCTCCAAGAGGTAGTCAGGCTGTGTGGACTGTAACCAGAACAGTTGTAGGAGTGAGTGGACAGAGCAAGCCAAATCAGCACCCTTCCCTTGATGGCTTTCCTCACAGCAACAAGTGGAGGGGGGGGGGCTGTGCTGAGGAGCTAACCTGCCTCAGAAGGAAGACCTGCTTCACTTGGCGTCTGTAGTTCCAGTCAAACTATCTGCCCAGGTGGCGGCCATTCACTGGGTCTCAGAGTTGGTGCCTCATCCTCATTTTGAAAGCTCTCATCAACCTTCACCCTCTTTTCTTAACACAAGCAGACACGGAGTAGGAGCCTTCTGGAAGGGCCTCTCATAAGGAACAATGTGGAAATACAATGGAGGAAATTACACTGTGAGGAGAGAAGAAAATACTTTTAAAATGTATCTTTAAGATCTCCAAAAGGTAAGAAGATATGACGTGCCTATAAAACAAGAACAGGCTGTTTTGAGAATTTCTGAAAACAACAGAAACCTCTTCAAAATTAAAAACAGCAGCAGAAACAAGAAGTTCACCAGAAGGATTAGAAGCTAAACCTGATGAAACCTCCAAGAAGTAGGTCAAAGAAACAAGGTTAGTGAGAGAAAGGGAAGGAAATATAGGAAGGGGGTTGCAGGGTGGTTCAGTGGGTAGACACTTGCTGAGAAAATCTGACAACCAGAAGTCAAGTCCCTGTGAAGTGATGTGCTCACAGGCACTGATAGTAATATTTGAAAAATAGGGCTGGAGAGAGGGCTAGCTAATTTTAGTGCTGTTCAGGCATGAGGACCAGAGTGCATAGCCCAGAACAGCGATGTGGTGGCACATATCTGTGATCCTGGTGTGTCTGTATTGATATAGGAGATGTAGAAGGATAACCCCGGCAAGCTCACAGACCAGCTAGGTCTGTGTTGAACACATTTGTCATCAAGAGGCTCTGTGTCACAGTGAAAGGAGAGGACCTACAACCAAGAGCATCCTCTGACCTCCACGTGTGCCACAGGGCACACGTGCACCTGCACCTACACACGAATGTGTGCACACACGCTGCATACATTGGACAGCTAGGAGTTGGAAGATAGTCCAACTGCTCTTATGTGCAAACCAGGAGTTCAGAAGGAAAGCAGGGACACCGGGGCCATAGCCTTGAGAAAATAGTTGAATCTGAAGGAAATGAGTTGCCTGATTAAAACTTTTGCTTTTGCTTGACCTCTCAGTCAATGAAAATTGCCCTGTTTCAGTGAACAGCATCAAGGATTCCAGAACACTGAGGATGAAGAGCAAATTTGCTAATACCTCAGAGGAACACCAGGCTCTGTGCTGTGAGTAAGAATTAGAACAGCAGGACTGGACAGGTGGCTCCTCAGTTCAGAGCACTGGCTGCTCTTCCAGCGGATCTGGGTTTAATTCCCAGCACCCACAACCATCCATAACTACAGTTCTAAGGGGTTGATTCTGCCTCTGGCCTCCACCTGGTACACAGACATGCATACAGGCAAAGCACCCATATATGCAAAATGAAAATAAATACTTTTTTTTTTTTAGGTAGAATGGCTATGATTTAGCACTCACCGTACTAGAAACAATAAGGTAGTGGAAACTGGCCTTCAACACTCACTGGTCAAGCAAGTGCCATGCTCTCATGGAGGCCTGTGTTTGGCTTCACAGAAGTCACATAGGCCATTCATGATAGTGAGCATCTGGTGGGGGGCAGAGGCCGGACAGTTCCCAGACTCTCTCAGGCCAGCTAGCCTGGTATACACAGCTGTAAGCAGGTGGAAAGGTGGGAGCCAAGGCCCCATATTGTCCTCTGACTTCCAGGTGTGTGTATGTGTGTGTGTATATACACTAAGATTTTTTTTAAGTTCAAAGGAACTAGAATTCTTCATGAAAGCTATCATTAAACCTGGGGGTAGAAAGAGCTTTCTCAAGCATGGATATTCCAGTGCCTTCGCCTCTTGGGCCCCTTCGTCTTTGGCCTGCTGGTGATTGTGCTACCCCCAAATGACAGCAATACAAGAAGGGAGGACATGGAGGCTAGAGAGCGGAGAGCCAGCCCAGGAGGGGAGGATGCAGTGGATGATAGATGGGATCCAGCACAGAGCGTGTGAGCACATGGCTGTCATCATCCACATGGCACCACCCTCCCAGCCCCAGGACAGAGGGAGCAACTCAATTAGCCTGACCCAGATTCTCCCAGTGAGCTCTGCCAGCCTTGACCATGCGCAGCTGAGTTCCCTTTCATCCTTTCATCCCTGTGGCCACACCAGCTGAGAATACTCTTGGCATCCAAACGCAAGTTTTGTGATTGGAACCTTCCCTGAGAACTGGAGATAGGCCTTGAAGAGCTCAGAGGCACAGAGAGAGAGAGAGAGAGAGAGAGAGAGAGAGAGAGAGAGAGAGAGAGAGAGAGAGAGAGAGAGAGAGACCATTTTTATGAGTCCCAGTTTAGTTCAGAAGGGACATGAATATGTAGTAAAATCTACCAACAAAGCAAAGTGCTGACTGGCAGGCTTCAGCTTCCCTGCTGTGTGCCTGGCCAAGTAAATCTTTATAAAGTAACAGGTTCGGAGCGAATCAGACACCTGAGGACTAGATTTCACCAATTTGTGCCGTATATCCAAAAATAAATCCAAAGGTATTCCAAAGGGGGGTGGAGTCCTGTGTCCGAAAAAGTTTGGGAAACACTTGGATAAGATGTGTTAGGGCTGGGGGGGGGGGCTAGCTCAGGGGTATAGGGCTTGCCTAGCAGGCATGAAGCTCTTGATTTGATACAGTGCCACATGAACCTAGTATCATGACACACTTGTAACCCCAGCACTTGGGAAACAGAGGCAAGAAGATCTGGAGCTCAAGGTCATACTTGGCTCCATAGTGAGTTTGGGGCCAACCTGGAAAGTACTGTGGATTTCTCATCATTTTAAATGAGCTGATGCACACAGCCAATCTCCTAAGGGGAGGTAAATGGGCAGTGACCAGGCTCACTTGACTGAAAAGCCCTGTTTCATTTTGTTTTGTTTGTTTGTTTAGATTTCTTTATTTTACTTGTATAGGTATTTTGCCTGCATGTATGTATGTGTACCACATGTATCCCTGGTACCCACAGAAGTCAGAAGAGAGTGCCAGGTACCCTGGAACCAAAGTTACTGATTGCTGTGAGAGCTGCATGTGGGTGATGGGAACCGAACCCAGGTCCTCTGCAAGAGCAGCAGGTGCTCTTAACCACTGAGCCATCTCTCCAGCCCCAGCATCTCTGCTATCTTTTGTCTTATTTTTATTCATCTATTTATTTTTACATCCCAGCCACAGCCTCCCCCCATCCTCTCCCTCAGTCTCTCTCCCCCATCCCCCCTCCTACCCCCAATCCCTCCTCTTCTATCTCCATCCAGGAAAGGCATCTGCTATATCTTAAGGAACACACTCAAGCCAGTTTGGGAAACTAGAGTGAAGTAGATAGGAGAAGACACTTAACATGATTCTGCCTGAAAGGAAATGAAGTTGTTCTCAAGCTTTTAATTTTATGAAATGGGTTTCAAGTGGTTTTGATGCTGCTTACAGATCCTTGGTGAGAAAAGCAGGTTCGTGTGTGCTACAGTGCTCTGAATCTGAGCTGGGTGGGACTTAGCCTTAGTTGTATTTGACCATGGAGAGGAAAAGGTTCATGATACTGGAGTCACTGGAGTTTATGTTGTTATAATAATATCTGTATGGGGGAGAAAGTGAAAGACGAAGTTAGGACTTCCTTGGCCTTCCTACTTTAAATACCTACATAAAACACTGACAGGCAGATCTAATACCTCCCTCTCATGGACGAGGCCTATAGTAGTGTAAAAATGTGCTGGGCAGGGTTTGGAAGTCATGATGAATATTGATCATTCTATTTTAGGTTCATTTCTATGGCATTATTGGTATATAATACATCAGTAGATTTGTCTGTTTCCTGTGTTGGGTTTTAGGTTTTTGAATTTGTAACTTTTAAAATTCAGACTGCTTTATATTGAGGCCTTCCAGATAGGTGTTTACCTGACACAATTATTGTAGCTATTATTCTTATTTGTATGTTATATAAATATATCTCTCTCCATTCTATTTTAGTCTCCACCACCTCTGAGGTTGCATCTTCCTTTTCTACTCTGTCTGTGTCGTCTCCTGATTTGGTCCATCCAGAGAAGTCAGCCCATCACTTTCCCCTGGTCTTCACCAGCCCTTCCTTCTGGATTCAGCCCCATCCACAGCCATCTTCTGCCCCCTTCACATACAAAGATGAAGCAGCCAGGGTTCACCACCCCTTTGCTCCCAGAAGCACGGCATCTTCAGATGATGAGGAGTACCCCATTATCCCAGATAACTCCAGTTCAGCTACAGAGAAGCCAGGTCACACTCCCAGCTGTAATCAGGTAGCATTCTCCACCCCAACAAGGACCTACTTCCCCTCAGTGCCCCAGGCTAGTTTGCAGACAAGCGAAGGCTTGCCCAGGGAATCCCCCGAGTCAGGTTCTATCCGCACACTTCTAGGTGAGGTGAGGGGTGCTGTGCTCCGACTTCATGAAGACCTGAGCTTGGTAATCCAGGAACTTAGTGTCATCAACAGCTACCTAGGCAACCTGAGTGGCAGCAGCCAAGCACCCAGTGAGGCTCTAGAGGACCCCCAGTCTTCCAGGGGGAGCTCAGATCCTATCTAGTAGCCTAGTAATTTTGCTGGAACACAAATGATTCCACTGCCCAAAGACCTGGGAGTCTTAACACTTCAGAGGCCCCCACTACTGTGGGGACAAAAAAGGCAATGACTTAATTTTTCATTTTCAAGTTTATTAGCACATCTTTCAAACCGACAAAGACATTTGGGTGCTGTTTTTTTTTTTTTTTTTTTTTTTTCAAGAGAAAGAAGTCACTTTTGATCGTTTCAGGTTTAGAGATTAGTTCCTTTGAAACAGAAGAGTATTTCTTTCATTCTTCACATGTTAGCACGTTGTCCCTTGAGATAAGCCTTAGTGAAGGTTGTGGGAGACTTTAAAGTGCAAATAGCTGTTAGGGTAAGCAAGTGAGCCAGGAGAAACCATGGGTGCCCCCACCTGCAGTGTTGACTTGGGGCTGCTAACAAGCTTCTGCCTGGTGACATCCTCTTTCAAGTTGAAGCCCCTCAAGTCAAGAGCCAGAAGTCCCTCTGCTGCCATAGGGTCAGGAATGATGTTGAGGCAGGCAGGATGTGGAGCAGGTTTTTATGTTGATTTTCAGAGAATTCAGGTGTGTTCTCCTCTTGTATTTCATAAATAAATTCTATATTTTCGATTCACTGTATCTTTTCCTAATTCATTAAAACAACTTTTCAAACGAAAATGCCATGTTTACTTTGTAGACAAAATGACTTAGCTTGACACTTACAGACCAGTCCTTCCCACCCAGGTGCATGCTGGGATCAAGTGCAGAAGCTTTTGGTTAGTTTGTCATTGAACCCAGAGGCTCACACATGCCAGGCCAGTGCTCTGCCACCTTGTTTAAGTCAAGGTCTGCTGTGCCCAGGTTAGCTGGCCTGAGACTCTGGGTGATTTTCCCCTTTTTACCTCCCATCTCACCACAGGAATGCTCAGATTACTGCAGTGGGGTGCCTCAAACAAGGTGGAAGGGGAACCTGGAAACTCCTTCAACCTCTGCATGCCCATTGTGTGCATGTGCACTCACTCAGACACAAGTAATGAAGCTTTTAGAGGAACCGGTGAGGCAGCTCATGTAAAATCTACTTCAGAGGTTTTTCATAGTTAATGGAGTGCTTCTTAAAGTGCTTCTTAAAGATATTTTCTTCCTTCCCCCCCCTTTTTTTTACATTTTTACTTATTTGCATGTGTGTGGGGGGGCAGGGCATGTGTAGCACAAGTGACGGTCAGAGCATTGCTTAAAAGATTCATTTCTCTCCTTCCACTGACTGTCTGGGTTCCGTGGATTGAACTTGTGTTGTCAAGAACAAGATATACTTACTAACAGGCTTAGCATTTTTGCCGTTACAGGAAGTATAATGAGTTAACTAGGACATATGCTAATAAGCCAGTAAGTCTGCATCCCACAAACTTTTTCAGATATGTGTTTCATATCTGGAAAAAACCCCACAAATTTTGTCATTTAAGGGCTACAACTTAACAAGGCTAAACAGCTATCACCTACTTCTAGAACATTCTCCTCACAACAAAGCCCCACCCCGGACCCTCAGCAGATGTTGTGCTTGCCCTATCCTTCACTTTCCACACTGTTTGACAAGAAGTGGTTAGGGAAGGAAGGATTTATTCTGGCTTACAGCTCAAGGGGATACCATGCATCATGGAGTGGCAGACCAGCTACTCACATTGTCTCGTAGTCAGGGAGCAGAGTGCAAACAGGAAATGGAGCCCGCTATGAAGCCTCAAGGCCCACCCTCCACTTTGCCCCCAGTGTCCCGCTTCCTTCTGCAAGGCTCCACCTGGTGAAGGTTCCACAACTTTCCCAAACAGGGCCACCATCCAGGGACCAAGTGTTCAAACACATAAGCCTTTGAGGACATTTCATATCAAAACCCCAACATCCTTCTATTGTGTAGCATTTTCCTCCTAGATAAATCTACATCTTGTAGGGAGTCTCCTTATCATTCAGGATGTTCTATGGTAAGGTGAATCATTCCATCCTGGGGGAAGTTCACTAAGCTCAGGAAGTCCCTGAAACTGACTAGAATCACCACGCATCTGCTGAGCTGCCTGAAATAGGCAGAGACCAGCAGAGATACCTGGAAAGGACACTTCAACCATGCAAGCTACCCACAGGCTGTGCAGTGTGCTCCAGGTTCCCAGGTTTGTGAGCTGTCACCCATGCTGCAGTGGGCAGCTGTTTTTGAGTCATTTCTGCCTCTGTAAATGACCCAATAAAACTCATTGGTTTACCAAGTTAGACTTTAGTGGCATTCTTATTTTGGTCTGTTTTTAGTTACTTGTCTAAGGCAAATAGATACTTGTCCACATCTCCCCACCTGTGCTTCCAAATTCTTGACAACCAAAATGTATTGTCTACCTCCATAATATTTTATATTCATTTTATTTTTATGTTAACAGAATCATACAGGCATCTATTCAGCCAATCACACTGCATCCCCAGCTCAGGGAGGAATCATAATTCATGAGGGTCTGTGTCTGATTCCTACCATAACACATCCGATTTGGGTATTCATCCATGTTGTAACACCAGTCAACACTTCATTTTATTTGTATGGTAAAGTAACATAAATTCTATGTAGACACCCTGTGTTTCTTGGCCATTAGTCATCTGGTTTGGGTTGTTCACACTTTCTTACTGCTGTGAATGGTGATGCTGAACATTCTTTATGAATTCTTTATGATTCAGGTCCTGTCCTAGTTTCCTCTCTGCTGCTGTGATGAAATGCTTTCACTTGAAGAGATAAAGACTTTTTTCTTTTTTTTGTTCACACCAGTCCATCAATGTAGGGAAGTCAAGGCAGGAAATTTAAGTGGCTGGTCACATCACAGATAAGAACAGAGAGAGAATTTATGCATGTGCTCACCCTCACTCTACACTTACACAGTCCAGGATCCAAACCCAGGAAAATTTTAGGCTGGGTCTTCCCACATTGATTAAGATAATGAATATGGTTTCCCCCAAAGACTTGCCTTCAAGGCAACCTGATCTAGTCCCTCATGGAGAATCCCTTCCCAGCCGATTCTAGGTTAGATCAAATTGGCATCGCTAATCTTCACAGATTCTCTTATGTATTGTATATATTGCTGGGTCAGAAGACACCTAGGGTGATCACTTCCCACCTTGACTGTGTAGCTACTAAGTGTCACCTTATTGGAAGGACCAGCCATGCTAGGTTTCCTACTCTGATAGTCATCCAACAGAAGTGGGAAGTTGTTAGACTCCACAGCTTCCCTTAGGGAGAAGTGGCATCTGGCCAGGTGAGGTAGCAGTAGTCCCAGCGCCTAGAAGATGGAAGCAGGAGAATCTCAAGTTTTGGAGGCCGACCTGGTCTACATAAGTGAGTTCCAGGCTAGCCTTTGCTCCATAGTGAGACCCAATCTCAAACACACACACACACACACACACACACACACACAGACGAGAGGGAAGAGTGAGCATTTACCTGGCAGTTAGTTGTCTTTGGGAACCTATTTACATTTCTCTGTATCAGACCCTGGGAATACACAGGAACAAAACCAGATACAACACCCATCCTCAGTTTCAGTTCTAAAGGTTGAAAGGATTTTCCAGATTCATCAAATCCTTTTCCCAAATGTAAAAGGATATTACAGATACAGAAGAGTTTGAGGAAACTTTATTTATGGAAATAACCTTGGAGCTGAAATATGAAATATGAAACTCCAGGACTATTGAAACTATTGAAAAATGCTCTAAGAACACAATGCACATAGAGTTCTTTGTATACTAAAATAGAATGCCAAGAAGACATCAGACCTCTTCTGGCTTTCATCATCTGGGAGCTCCACCAATAGAGTTTAGGAAGCTGACATAGCTCATCATCACAGATTCTCTTATACCGTGGAGTTTGATTGCTGAGTCGGAAGGCACCATCATACTGGTTAGGTAAATCAAGATCACAATGGAAGTCTCCAGGGAAACCAAAGTTAATCTCAGACTTCACTTCCTCACTCCTATATTTGAGGTAACTCAAACACTTCTCTGTTATATACTGCTAAGAGGGGAGAATAGGGCTGGAGAGATGTCTCAGTGGTTAAGTACTTGCTGTTCTTACAGAGAACTCAGGCTTTGTTCCCAGCACCAACTTGGAGCTTAACAACCACCTGTAACTCCAGCTTCAGAGGGTTTGGCACCACCTTCCGGACTCTGCAAGCACTACAAACACATAATGCACATGCATGCAGGCAACCATTCATACACATAAAATAAAAATGAAATAAATATTTTTTAAATAGTAGAAAGTAAAGATCCCCCAAGACACATCATCCTCCTGTCCCCATTCATACCCCTAAAAGCTGCTGTATCAGACTGTTGACCATGGGGCCCTACAAGTAACTGGGGGTTACAACAAAAACTACCTCTTTGTGATACTCCCTTACTTTTCACATGCTTACTTTATGCATATTGACAATTCCAACTATAACTGGGTTCTACAAAGCGCATATATTTTAATACAACCATTTGTTAATTAGTATAATTAATAAGCACTTATGTGAGTTTCTATTTAGCCAACTCTATTAAATCAGTAGAAAAAAACTTGGCTTAAATCAAGAGAGGGTCTATTCTGATTGACTTTGCAATTATCTCATTAAAAAATACTGTTTTAGTCAGAACTGAGAATCATATTATAAGACAGTTATAAGCATATTTTATAGTTTGCTCACTGTCATATTAGTTATGTGTTCATTCTTTAAATGTTTATAAAGTACTATTAGGCGTAGGCAGTTTGCCAGACATCAGGACACAATAGTGAAAAAGATGGATGAGTCCCTGTCAGAGTTTCAGTCCTGTAGCCATGCGAATGGGTGAGTTGGTAGTTATGGTACAGTGCAGGACCCTGGGTGGTGGGGTGGGGCTCGGCACAGAATACAGGCAGCATGAGGGAGTTTGGGAGTATCAACCTGGAGGAACTGTAGCCACATGAAAGAAGAAGAGGGTGTGGGGGAGACATAACTTTTTGAGGAGATGGGAAAGGACACTTTATCTGGGTGGGTGCAATGCATGATGGGAGCCTGACTGGACAATGTGCCAACAGGAAGGTCAGGAGTTTGAGCATTTCCATGGTGGCAGCACTCTTGGTGACATCAAGGTTCGTTTGACCTTTACAGACTCAGAAAAGGACCAAGTACTATGTTAAGGGCTCATATTGAAAATGTCACAGACTC